CACCCTATCATGTCTGCCTTTTGTACCCTATCATGTCTGCCTTTTGCACCCTATCATGTCTGCCTTTTGTACCCTATCATGTCTGCCTTTTGTACTCTATCATGTCTGCCTTTTGTACCCTATCATGTCTGCCTTTTGTACCCTATCATTTCTGCCTTTTGTACTCTATCATTTCTGCCTTTTGTACCCTATCATGTCTGCCTTTTTCTTTATTTTTTTTTATTACAGTTGAGGCTAGCCTCTTTGTCATTTCTTTATAAGTAGGACCTTGGTGGTTGTTACAATAATATCGTGATGCTGTATCTCTTGAGTTTTTGTGATTTTATGAACTACGTAAACTTCTGTAAATCGATCCACTGACCTTATAGTTCCGTTATCCACTTTTTTTTACCAGGCATTGTGTTAGTGTAAAAACTGCGAACGCTCTAGCAATCAAACTGTTTTCGATCTGTGAAAGGCGGAAACGGAAAGAGTTAATACATGCAGTACAATGTGCCACCCCCTACCTGAACCACCTTTCGTGTGGTAATTATCACAATATAAAGTATATATCTGAATACAAAGTAAAGCCGCGAGGACCAGCTTTTTCCGACCAGCGCCCGTCATTATTTTCTTTATTTATTGTTAAGCGCAAAGTTACACAATCGTTTATCTGTTCTCTGTCCACTGCGGGTATCGAAACATGATTCTTAGAGTTATAAACCCTCGGGCTTATTACTGAGCCACTAGGAAGTAAAATTTATGAATGTTTTACTGTATCAAAAATACAACGTTACAATCTACACTATGATTTCCCACTGGGGTGGGAGTGGGGAGGTATTTTGGTTAGATTTGGCAGCCATTATCATATTTTGAATTCTTAAGTGTTTTATAGTAACTTAATTTCCCCTCACATCTTGTAACTTTACGTTTATTTTCTTAGAAGATTGTTTTTACAAATCCTAGTGAGGTAGAAGCTCGGTTCATTGTTCTTATATATATATATATTCTTTTAAACAAAATTAAATTTTATGACGGTCTCTGGCCACTTTTTTACCTTTCCACAATGGGGAACTTTTAGTACACTCTATGCATCAATAATGCCCTCCTCTTTTCTCTCCCACGTTAATTAGGAACGAAACTTAAAAGGTCACAATCTCAAATCCGCTTCTAAATCGAATGGACGAACGATCCCCTTCATCACGTGCACTTACAAAAACATCGAGATGAATTATAACTCAGGAAACGTGATAGTTTAAGTACCTGATGATTTGAAAAAAAAAGACAGAAATGGACGAATCATCTCATGCATGTAGATATAAAAACGAGTTGCGTTCCCTCTCTCTCCCCTTTACAGAGGAGTTATAACAACTGTCACGGATCCAGAGCAAGTTTGTTTGTAATTAAGCACAAAGCTACACAATGGGCTATCTGTGCTCTGCCCACCACGGGTATCGAAATCCGGTTTCTAGCGTTGTAAGTCCGCAGACGTACAGCTGTGCCACTGGAGGCCCAGAGTAAGTAGTTTGCAAAATAAAAACTTTTAAGCATTAGAATTAGACATTTGTAGAATTTCATTTTATACATATCTTTTATTACGTTTTTACAAACGAATGAAGTGAAAAATTGCCCCCTATTGGCCAACCTTGACATGTTTTAAACTTGATTTAACTAAGAGCTGTGCGAACATTTAAAACCATCAACTATATTTTGATAAAAATGACAAAGATCTAAAAGCTAGAATAGATCACTGTGTGGTAGTTAAGCCTAACATGAGTGCAGACGTATTTATCATATCTCCATTAGTGTTATGCCTAAAAACGTGCCCTTTTTACTGTTTTCTTTATCTAGTACCTCCCGAAGTCCTCAAAAATATTTACCTTTAATTAATTGATGGTTGGCAACATAAGGAAACACAAAATGTTTTCTCCCCCCTTTTTTTGTAAAGAGGAGTAACAGTTGATGAGTAGATTGCGAGTCGAATATCCTAACCACCAGTCCATGCTAGGCCTAACAGACGGATATTTGTTTGTTTTGAATTTCGCGCAAAGCTACA